CTAGACAGGAGAACACGAGTCTAAGCCTAATTTTTTTATATGCAGGAACTGTTTTTTTTTTTTCTGTTTAAATATTTAAATGTAAGGCTAGGAGTGTAGCTCCGTGATAGCATCTGAGCATGTGTGAGGCCCTGGGCTCAATCCCTAGCACCACACTCACACCTCAAATTGACCTAGGATATATTTAGTCTTTCATGATTTTCAGTATGACTCTCTGCTATTTAGTGATTTATTTCAAACTGTGGACTCACCTTTTAAATGGAACGTATTTCTTTTAATATCTTTGAATATTGCTTTGGTCTTATTGTGTGTTTTAGAAGCACCAATTATTTGCAAATTGGGTCTTAGTTTTCTTTTTCCCTTAACCCTCATTCCTTTGACATTATTTAAGTGTCTTTTTACTTTGCATTCCAAGGCAATTTTTTAAAGGTTCATCCCCTCCATCACTAATTCTTTTTTTAAAAATTATTTTATTATTTTTTTAAAAAAAATCTTAACAGGCTTCCAATGAAGATTTAAGTACTACCGTGTTTCCTTATCTAAATAGATAGGAAATTGTTTTCATAGAAGGCTGCTCTCCTTAGTATAGAGTGATGCAACCACTGTTTCCTATTATAGTTGGTATATAGCTTTATTTCTGCCTACCTCTCAGCCCAAAAGCTTCCTTTTCCTCTAAAGCTTTTGTTTTCTTACTTACTTTTTTTTTCCCATTTAAAATTCAATTTGTTGAACATTTAAAAAGCTTATTTTCTTAACCCTCTGTTGAAACCTAAAACTATGTAAATCTTCAAATTATCTAGTATAGGGGCTGGGGATGTGGCTCAAGTGGTAGTGTGCTGGCCTGGCATGTGCAAGGCACTGAGTTCAATCCTCAGCACCACATAAAAATAAATAAAGATATTGTGTCCACCTAAAACAAATATATATATATATATAAATTATCTAGTGTATTAGTCAGCTACTGCCAAAATGATGCTGTGTAACAAACCACCCCAAACATCTTGAAAACAGTAAACATTGTTCTCATGCACACAGGTCTGTGGATTTGGGGGGGTCCCTTTGCCTCAGGCTGTAGGCGGATATGTCAATTGGGCTAGATCTGCTCCCTGTCTTGTTTGGCTCAGTGGCCGCTTGGGGCATGTTGTTTTCAGGATGGAATGGGAATCAAAGTAGCCTGAGAGGAAAAAAATCTCTAGGACACAGAAAGCTGGGGCTCAAAACTCAAAACTCACACTGTCACTTCTGTCCATTTACCTTTGGCCAGAGCTTGTCCTATGACTAACTGAAAATCAACCAGGTGAAGTTTTATCATTTCATTCTTTATCGCTTTAAAGTGAAGACCATTTTTAAAACCACGGTGATATACTACTACATGTCTATTAGAAAGGCTAAAGTAAAAATCAACAAAACCTGATAAAGCCACGAGCCACCAAGGATGCAGAGAAACTGTAACACTCATACAATGCTGGTGGGAATGCAAGATGGTACAGCATCTTTGGCAAACAGTGCAGCAGACTTTTATAAAGTTAAATATACCTATAATGCATGGCCCACAGTTCTATCCCTAGGCATTTGCCCGTGAGAAATGACAACTGATCCTAAACAAAAGAATCCAGACTGAGAAAGCCACATGCCAGTCCTCTCCACTTATGTGACTTCTGGAAAAGGAAGGACTATGGGACAGAGAACAGATGCATCCACTAAAAAGATGATTGAAAACAAAAACTGAGGTCTTTCTAAAACTGCCTTTTGTTTCCTTTAGTAAACTGTTTTCCCAGAAGGCTCTTCTCCTTGGTACAGAGTGAAGCAGCCACTGTTTATAGTCTAGTATATTCCACAGCCGATGTGGTTGGATGAAGAGAATTTTAGTGTAACTGAGGTGTTTACAATGGTCAAAGAGCTCCTTGGTTCTATTGAACCTTATCATTTTTCTATCTGATTTCAAATGGGAAAGTCAGTTTTCCCACTGGTCTTCCTGTCCTCTGTCGCTCCTGGCTCCGATGAGCCTGTCTATGCCGGTGCCAGGAATACAGTGTCCCAGGAGCTTGATCTGAGGTGTCGGGGGTGCAGGTCTCAGCCCAGTGATCTGGGCCTGAGAGGCGACAGGGGGTGCCTTTGACACCTTTCATGAATCTGGAGAGGGGACTCTTCTCTGGAAGGGAGACTCAGGCCTCCATTTGCTAGGCTTGGTGACAGTGGCCCCTGAAATCGCAGGGGCCGATGGTCAGGAAGGAAGGCATCCAAACCGAGACCTTCCATCCCCTGTCCTTCCTCCAAGAGAGGCCAGGGTGCGGTGGGCCAGGCTATCCAGACTCGCTAGCCCTTGGGGCCCCTCTCTGCCAATTTCTTCTCTAATTGAAACCTTCTTTGCCCTCCCCCATCAGCCCCAGCTGGGGTCCCCAGCAGGCAGAGCACACATTAATAATTAGCAGATTTATGGCTAAGAAGCCTGCATAATTCTGCAGAGATGAGCTTCTCAAAGGAATCTCCCGGGTTTGGCTGATGCTCCTGGCTTCCTCCTCTTGTTCCTGAAATTATCTCTGGGCAATCAGTGATTTCCTCCCACCATGGAGCCCGCTGGTCTCCTTGGGCTGACCTGGGGGGTGATGCCACGGGACAGTGGCAGCTTCAGGGCCCAGCCAGGGCTAGACCGGGGACTGCTGCCGCCCCTCCAGCCATCCTCGGGGCTCCCTGCAAGTGCAGCTTTGCTTACTTTAGGGTCCAGCTTCCATCTTGGCCCGGCTGGTGTGGGATCTGGGGAAAGGTTCTTCTCCTAGACCTTAGTGTCCCCTTCTCAATTTTCTCGGGGAAATGACTTGAAATGACCTGAGAGGAGATATAAGGACTGGGTGGTGGGTGGTGGGTTTTGGCCTGGGGGAGGGAGTCCCCCTTTTCCTCTGGGCCTGTGTCGGTGGGACCTGCGCAGAGCTGAACCCGTCTCTGCCTCCTGCAGGCAGGCGGAGGCCAGGCAGTTTTTCCTGAAGCCCCCTTGGTGGTCTCGGCATGGCCTGGAGATGAGGTGGTGCAGCTCTTTGGGGAGTGGGCTCAAGGGGAAGAGAGTGGTGGGTAACTATCGGATGGTGCACTCAGGGGTACTTTGAGATGGGTAGACGGACGGTGGTCCAGCTGACTCTGCTTAACAATTCCTTAGAATGGGGTTTCCTTTTGCATTATCCACCTGAGAAGCAGGGACATTCCAGTGGCAAAGGGTACGGGGAGGGGGCATAAACAAGGTGCCAGGAAGCGAGGAGGAAGGAGCACCTCCTTCCATCCAGGGAGTCAAATTTTGCAGAGGGCTCAATTTGAGTGGCTCTCTGAGGGCACTGAGTGGCCACCTTTGGGCACAGCCTTTTGTCTGCTTCTCAGACTCTCTTTGGGACAAATTCTTGGAAGTGAAATTTCTGTGCTAGAGGCTGGGGAGTAGGGCACATCCTTTTAGCTGTAGTGACAGAAACCCCTCAGACTGGCTTATCAAAACCAGAGCCATCAAAAACAGAGCCGGGATCAGTTGGTGTCTCCGGAGCTCATCCTCCCTGCTCCAGCTCTCGGCCTCTCGGGTGACTTCATTCCCAGACAGGCTGTCCCTGCTGGGTCCCCTGGAAGCTCAGGTTTAGATCCCACCAGCTCAGCACAAAAAGGGAACCTCTCTTTCTCATTCAGGCCACAAACATCCTAGGCTGAGTCACCCAGACCAATCTGGGCCTCCGACTGGGACGCCGAGGCTGGGCAGTCAGGGTCTCCCACGCCTCTCTGGAACATGAAGGGGTGGCCACACAGAGCAACAGATGGAGAGTGGGAAAAGGGGGTTCCCTAAAGGCAAATCGGGATGGTGCTAAGAAAACATAGTTCATCGGCCCCACGGAGGTCCACCGCAGGCAGGGCTGGCTGTGACCCTCGCCGTATTGACTACATTTTATTCTCAGCAGTGATTTCTGTGGCCTTGGAGAGAGCAGTGGGAGCAGAGGAAGAAGAGTGAATCCATGGGTCGGACCTCGTCCAGGCCCCGGGCAGGGAACAGCGAACCCCACAGTGATTGCCGTCAGGAGCTCCCGTTCCATGAGGGGAACGCACGGCGCTTGAAGACGCGGGGGACAACCAGATCCCAGCTCAGGGCGCAGAGGACAGATGAGTGGGCTCAAAGGACAGGTGAGCCTTAGGGGAAGTGAGACAAGGCTCTGAGACGGGGAGGATGAATGGCACTGGCTGGAGAGACCAGAGGTGGATGTTCCGACACAGGACACAGCCCGAGGGGGGAAAGAGCGGTGAGCAACGTCCAGTGGCTGGACCCCTGGCTGGAAGGTCTCCCTGCCCCAGGGTCTGGGTCCTGGGGAGGGATGTTGTGCACTTAGCCCAAGGGGTTGGCTAAGGAAAATAAAGGGTAGGGAGGGCCCTGCCCAAGGGAGGGCCTTGCCCATGGGCTTGGGCTTGATTTTGAGCCATGGGAAGCCAGATAAGGGTTCTGAGCAGGAGCATGGCTCAGAGGTAAGTGGGGTGAAGCTGCGCCCAGGCAGAGGGAGGAACCCATGGAAGATGGGGGTGATGGAGCACACCTGTCTCTGCTCCCACCTCCCTGCCCTCCTCTCTCTGGCCTGCCTCCCCTTCCCTCCCTCCATTCCCTCTTCCCTTTGTCTCCTTGGAGGATGGGAGACGCCTTCCCAGAAATAGAAGTTTAATGGGGAAGTTTATCCTTGGCACGAGAGACATCCGCCTCACTCCAGAAAACCCAGGGTAAAATAAATCTAATTAAATCTGTTACTGTTCACAGAGACTAGTTTTGTGGGCAATTGACCTGTTTTATTTATTATGTAAACCATCATGAAAACCAGGCTCCATATTATTTATGCTAATGGAGGGAATAGGTAATAAATCCCGCATGAGGATGCAGGCAGACCAGATGGTGCTGGTGGCACTTGGATGGCTGGTGCAGGGGGAGGCCGGGCCAGCCGTCGCTCCCAACCCCAGGAGAAGGCCTGGGAGGTCCGGGAGGGGTGGGGGTGAGTCTGGGGGGCAGCCTCACTCTCAGTAAATTGCAAAATGCTAATGAGAAGAGGGCCTTTTCTGGGTCACCTCCTTCTCCCTCTTGGAGGCAATGCCCATCTGCGGTACGCCCCCTGGAGAGATGGGAACAGAATTAGATATGCTGAGTCCGAGGCAGGAATGCCATCGATACGATGGCCCTGGATTTCCACAACAACCCCAAGAAGTAGGTCGGCCCTGCCCCTGGTTTACAGGTAAGAAGACTGAAGTGTCCTCAGGGCTGGGGTGTGAAACTGGGGGTATGAGCCTCGAGCCCTTCCAGAGGGGCAGGCCCTGGATGATCCAGATCTGCAAGAAGGAAGGAAGGGTCTGGGCCAGGAGGGAGAGAGGAATCGGGGCGGGGAGCAAAAGGAGAGACCGCAGGAAGGACAGGCCCCTCTCTTTCCCCCTGAGAACAGCTGGCCCTAGATACCCCCGGAAGGAGAGGTGGGCAAGTTCAGGAACCGTCCATGTGCAGGCTGTGGCTGCTTCTAGCTGTGACAGCAGTTGCCTCTTAGGGACAGGGAGAAGCAGGGAGCTTGTTTACTGAGGAAAGCTGAGTGCAACATCTTCCCTTCAAAGAAAGGAAGAAAGACACAAATCAGCAGGGTACGGAGAGAGCAGGGGTTGGCAGGAGCCTCGCGTGTAAGGCCCTGGGACACCGCGGCGGGCTTCTCTGGGCCAGGCGGAAGCTCATCCTAGGCCGTGTGGTCTGCTTCCCAAACAGACGAGGTACAGCGGGAGAACCGCAGAGAGCACTGGAGACTTCCGTGGCCGTGGAGAGGGCTCGGACTCGCTCTGCGAACTTGAACGGGTTAGTGTCTACGCGCCTCAGTTTTCTCAGGGGACAGCACTGGCCTCCTCCTGTGTTGTGGTGAGGACTGAGCAGGGCAGGGACAGGCCGGCACCGTGCCTGGCACAGAGGAGGAGCTGGCTTAGGTCAGACTCCGAGGAGCCACATCTTCAGATGGGGGGATGTCCCATGAAGCTGGGTGCAGGGTGTGGGGGCAGGGTGGTCAGTAGGACTGGGTAGAGAAAGAAGTTCAAGGGTCATGTGGTGGCAGCAAGGGCTTTAGCCCCCTGGGAGCTCTGGATACAACTGCAGTAGGGTGACCAAGTGATCTTCTTTGCCCAGAGCCAGGACTTTTGGTGCTAAAACGGAAGAAAATCCCAGGCAAACTGAGATGAACTGGTTACCCTGTCCTACGGAGCTGGCCTGCCTGCCCTACAGGGTTTCTGTGTGCCTGGGGTTGGGGTCCACCTGCCCCTCTGCCTCTCGGGCATTCAGGCTCTGAGAGTGTTCCAGAAGGCAGGAACGGGGAGCTCCCAGTCTCTTAAGGCTTGGGTGAAAACTGACCTGTCCTGTCGGTCAGCATCATCACAGAGATCATGCTAATGCGAAGGCGAAGAACAGACTTTCTCCCAGTGAGAGGCAGGTCAGGGAGTTGTGGCCACAGGCCGAGTCTGTCTGTTCCTAAAGCCTGGTGTTTAGCTGGCTCCAGGGTGCCTCTCTGCCTCCCTCTGCAAGCCTTCACCTGTCCCTGCGATCCCCTGTCATGCAGAAATGCCCCACAGCCTCAGATCCCTGACGGAGGCCGCCGGAGCCCACCTCCCTGAGGGTCTCCTCTCCTTGTCCCCTTCCCTGCTTGTCTCCCAGCCCCTTGCTCCAGGCCTGCAGCCTGCATGGCAGCTCTGTCCTGGATTGGCTTGGGGACATTCCAGCAGACCGTGGGGCAGCACTGTAGGTCAGAGGGGAGATTTGCAAGTCTGCGCTGGCCGCTGGGGCAGGTGGGGGGCAGCCAGGCGGGCTCCACACTGGTGGTGGCAGTTAGGTACCGCCGTCCAGCTGGCTTCAGGAGCCTCCACTCTGGTCAGGTGGCCCCGTGCTGTCTGTGGCCAAGGCCCTGGTGTCACTCAGGCTCGAGTCCCACACGATCTGATCCTGCCTACCCTGGAGCCTCATCCCATCTTGGACTTTCTTCTACGCTTGTTTTTATCTGGGGGAATATGGAGACTGGAGCTGCCGAGGCCATCTTGAAGCCTAAGGGAACTTGGAGGGGAGTGAGAAAGTAGGACTGATTGATGGAGAAAGGGAGAAAGGGGATGGGAATGGGGAGAGGGAGATCCTGGAAAATGGGTCGTGTTTGATACCTGGATCAAGCCATGCCTGAAGCTTTTTAGATCTACACAACTTTTCAGTCACGTGATCAATGTACTTCCTATTTCCTCAGCCCACTCTGGGTTGGAATTTCAGTCATTTGTAATAAAAGAGCCCTAATGATGAGGGCGGAGAGACCCAGCCTGGATATTTAGTCCTGGGTCGTAGTCTCCCTGGGAAAGAGCAGAGCCTGTGACTGTCTTGGCTGGGAAGCTTCATTCTTCCTTGTTAGTGGGGGAAACCGAAGCCCAGAGGGGCGAGGTCACACGTGGAGGGCACAAGGTCTCTGGGCTCTGAATCGGGTCCTTGTGCCACAAGAGGAGTTTCAGCAAGGAGGGAATTTCAGATCGGAGGCTTCCTCTTGAGGCCCGTGACCCCACCTTGAATTGTGGGGCACCATGTGGGGCTCTGATCTTGCCCACGCTCCACTCGGGGGCAGCATGACAGTTGAACCTGTCCCAGGGAGGGGACAGAGTGGGGACACCCACCAGGCAAATCCTGAATCCCTGAGCTTGGTGGTTCACGGAGGATGCAGGACTGAGGGTCAGGAGGCCTCAGGGGGTGGGGCAGATGGGCAGCCTCAGGACTGACCACTGGCCAGCACAGGACGCTGGAGGGCCCAAGGCTGAGGCCCAAATAGATAGTAAGGACACTGCAGGATTCCACATGGTCCACTGTTTCTAGCATGTGCCTAGAAACATGGACACCAGGGCCTTTGAACACAGTTTCCACCTCTCCCTGTCTTGCCCTCCCCTTCCCCTCCCCCAGGTCTCAGCTTAAATGTCACTTTCCCAGGAAGCCTTTTCTTATCTGCCTTCAATAATTTAACAAGTGTCCCTGAGCTCCCAACACACAGCAGACACTTTCAGAGTCCAGTGGTGGGCGAGAGCAATTGGAGCTTCCTGTGTCCCTGGGGGGTCCGCAGGTGAAACACAGACGGACAGACAGACACGAGACGCCCACACAGACACTCACAGATACACACGCACAGCACACACGTAGATACACCCGACACAGAGACAGACGTACACACACATCCGGACACACGGATACACAGACAGGGACACACACAACATACACAGACACAGAAATGCATGGTCACACATGGAAACACACAGAGAAACAGATGCACAGACACTGGGTGAGTGTAGGGGGCGGGGCTGGGGCTTGGCTTTGCAGGCCCAGCCAGGAGCCCAGCCAGGTGGGGGCGCTGGTGAGCTGGTTGGCAGGGCTGAGGTCATCACAGAGACAGACGGGGGTGCTGCAGGCCTGGCCTTTCAGGCCCCACAAAGGCCTTGGAACTTCACTGGAGTCTGCAGTGAGAGGCCGTGGCAGGATGGCCTGGTCGGATCCACGTTTCCATATGCTCCCTCTGGCCGCCAACCGATACGGAATCAGGAAGACTGTGCCACTGGTCCAGGCAGGCTGGGTGGCGACTGGGGCCTGGAGGGGAGGTGTCACCTGGGGGAAGCGGTGGGATTCCGGGAGGGCCAGCAGGATTTGCGAAGCACCAGGATGTGGGATGGGAAAGAGGCCAGTGAGCGCCTTGTCCTGGTGAAGCTCGCAGAGGTCGAGGGAGGTGGTTTGGGAGGAAGCTGGAGGGTCCATGTGGACAGGATGCCCCCCAGCCAGGGATGTGTCCAGGAGGCAGGTGCCTCCTGAGTTTCCAGCTCAGAGGTGGATCCGGGTGGAGACACACCCCACGTCACGGGTCTTGTGCCACCTACTTGGATGATGAGGGAGACGTAGGAGGGCGTAGGCAGCGGGGCGAGACGGTGGTGAGGAAGTCAGGGGCAGGGCCAGGCCAGAGGAGCAAGGAGCAGGTCTTGCAGGGAGGCCAATTTCCCGGTTGACAAAAGTACTCGTGGGCAGAAGTGGGGGACCCAATAGACACACTCCTGATCCTAAGCGGAATCCAATAGGAAAACTAAAATAGACACGAGGACACTGGGGACACCCATGAACAACCGTGAGGAGGGAGTGGAGAGGAGATGAGATGGGAAAGGAGGAAATTCCAGGGACCATCAAAAGAACAGCCCAAAAGTCCCCGGCGGAATCCCAGCTCTGAGAACCTGCTTTTTGGAGAAGCGTGTTACTGTTGCTTTTGCAATAAGCCTGCTGCTGGCCCGAGCTATCTTGGTGTCCTGTTCTTCAGTTCTTTGCTGCACACCTTCCAGGGGACAGGCTTTGCTTGCTTTCTCCAGAATCCGGGGCCCCAGGACAGGAGCACGCCAGCCGGGAGGAGAGAGCTCTGTAGAGAGAGCAACTGGTCAGGCAGGACTGGGTGGGGGACTGGGTGCTTCCTCTTTCTGGAAGGAAATGCACCCCTCAAATCCTTGCCTAACACCTGAGAGTGCCACCCACCTTCCTCAGCCAAGGTGCCAAGTGCTAAGCCTGGTCTGGGCCTGGATAAGCTGCTGTTTAAATAGTCAGAGATTAGTTTTCAAATTGACAAATAAAGCCCATCTGGAGTGCTTGCAGCCGGCCCCTCCAGGGCCTGGCTGAGCAAACCCAGTTTAATTAGCCCTGGTGCAAGGCCTGCAGGGGTGGCGGGGGAGGGGTGCTGGCATCCCTGCAGCTCCCTAGACAGCTGGGCTGGCCCCTGGCTGTCTGTCTGTCTGTCTGCCTCAGTTTTTCTCCCCAACAGTTAAAGTATAGGAATGGGGGTCTCTGAGCCCTTCCTCCCCCTGGCCTCCCCCGACATACTGCATTGAGGTCCCTTCGGAACCTCATGCTTTTACCTGTGCCACTCCATCGTTCACCCGTCCTTCCATCCATCCATCCATCCATCTGTCCGTCCATCCATCTGTCAAATAATTATTGAGCACCACTGTTGTTGGTGCTCAGAGAAGACAAAGGCCCTGTCTTCTGAAGCTCTGGGTCTGGAGTGGTCAACCAATACCGGTTAAATCAAACCGGTGTGGAGTCAAGACTCTGAGACGTGCTCAGGAGGAAACGTGCAGCGTGGAGTGAGTAAGGAGCTTGGTGGGGTTGGCGGAGGTGGGGACCCTGAGCATTCGGGGAGACCCCCAAGGAATGGCATTGGAGCTGAGATTTGAAGCGGGGAGGGGGCTGGCCAGGTGAAGGGAATGAGTTTGAGCGTGTATATGTGTGTGCTTGGGTGTGTCTGCCCGTGTGTGCGGGTGTGATATTCCAAGCACAGAAAGGTGCTGGCATCCCTGTTCTGGAAGTGAGGGGGCACAACACTCAGTGCCCCCAAGGGGAGGCCAAGGCAAGGATGGAGCCCAGGTGGGGCGTCCTTGACCTGCTGCCCTCAGCCTTGAATGCCCAAGGCCATGGGAAACCCTTAAAGGCCTCAAGATCAGATTT